GTGTTTGAGAGTAGACTGGTGTATGAGACATGTAGACTGGTGGATGAGACATGTAGACTGGTGTATGAGACATGTAGACTGGTGTTTGAGAGTAGACTGGTGTATGAGACATGCAGACTGGTGTTTGAGACATGTAGACTGGTGGATGAGACATGTAGACTGGTGTATGAGACTGTAGACTGGTGTTTGAGACATGTAGACTGGTGGATGAGACACGTAGACTGGTGGATGAGACACGTAGACTGGTGTTTGAGACATGCAGACTGGTGTTTGAGACTGTAGACTGGTGTTTGAGACATGTAGACTGGTGTATGAGACATGTAGACTGGTGTATGAGACTGTAGACTGGTGTTTGAGACATGCAGACTGGTGTTTGAGACATGCAGACTGGTGTTTGAGACATGTAGACTGGTGTTTGAGACATGCAGACTGGTGTTTGAGACATGCAGACTGGTGTTTGAGGCATGCAGACTGGTGTTTGAGACTGTAGACTGGTGTATGAGACATGTAGAACTGGTGGATGAGACTGTAGACTGGTGTTTATGGACTTGTGTGGTTTTCTGACCAACAGGGATGCAGAGGATGTCAGCCTGTAGCTGCATCAGTAATCGGTTCCCCGTCATGCCTCCGTCCACCCTAAGCTGGGTCAGAGGGACACCGCTGTCCTTGTTCATGGCATCCAGGATCTGAAACACAGAGCTCCATGTCAGCTTCAGCTGCTGCTTCCTGTTTGGTCTCTAAAAAGACCAGATGTTCCTCACCTCTCGGGTCTGGAAGCAGACAGCCTCCAGGGCAGCAAAGGCCAGGTGGCTCCTGTTGGTGAACTGTGTGAGTCCACAGATGATGCTGAGTCCACAGAGGAAACAAATATWCGTTTTTCATCCTGAACCCTGAAACTCGGTGGATCTGAGGTGAAAGGTTTGTCTCACCCTCGAGCGCTGGGCTCCCAGTACGGAGCGTAGAGACCGGAGAACGCCGGGACGAAGTAACAACCGTACGACGTTCCTACTGCAGCTGCTAACTGCTCTGAGAGGAGAGGAGGAACATTTGAAACCAGGAGGRTCTGGACTACAGCTCAGGACCGTCTCATGTGACGAAGGACGTACCGATCTCTGAGGACGACTGGACGATGCCCATGTTGTCCTTCAGCCAGCGGATCACAGCTCCTGCGATGGCCACTGAACCCTGCAGAGGAAACATCAGGAGTCAGCTGGACCATCTGGACTGTGACATCCACCAATCTGCCAAAGCATTATGACCAAAGACCTGAATCTGACCCGCCTCCTCCTGTGGACCTGTGAGGGTCTCCTGTGGACCTTTGAGGGTCTCTTGTGGACCTCTGAGGGTCTCCTGTGGATCTCTGAGGGTCTCTCTGGACCTCTGAGGGTCTCTTGTGGACCTCTGAGGGTCTCCTGTTGACCTCTGAGGGTCTCCTGTGGACCTCTGAGGGTCTCTTGTGGACCACTGAGGGTCTCTTGTGGACCTCTGAGGATCTCTTGTGGACCTCTGAGGGTCTCCTGTTGACCTCTGAGGGTCTCCTGTGGACCTCTGAGGGTCTCTTGTGGACCACTGAGGGTCTCTTGTGGACCTCTGAGGATCTCTTGTGGACCTCTGAGGGTCTCTTGTGGACCTCTGAGGGTCTCTTGTGGACCTCTGAGGGTCTCCAGTGGACCTCTGAGGGTCTCTTGTGGACCTCCTGAGGGTCTCCAGTGGACCTCTGAGGGTCTCTTGTGGACCTCTGAGTGTCTCCTGTGGACCTCTGAGGGTCTCCAGTGGACCTTTGAGGGTCTCTTGTGGACCTCTGAGGGTCTCTCTGGACCTCTGTTGGTCTTTTGTGGACCTCTGAGGGTCTCCTGTGGTCCTCTCAGGATCTCTTGGAGACCTCTGAGGGTCTCTCTGGACCTCTGTTGGTCTTTTGTGGACCTCTGAGGGTCTCCTGTGGTCCTCTGAGGGTCTCTTGC